GATTATTATCAACAAGTGATAATCTAGAAAAGAGGAAGCTTGAACTGTGACCCTTCACTCAAACGGCGGCGGCGGCGAAAAATCGGCGGCTAACACCTCTAGCCGTATTCATGGAAACCTTGGTGCTATTTCAAAAACTAGCTTTTGATTTAAAAGCTTTTCCGAGAATCTTTTTAGACTTAGTGGTGCCCAAAAATGGACGAAGTGTTTCGAAGAAATCAAACATAGTTTCCCAGCATATCTCCTAATCATTTAAGGATTCTGGATCTTCAGAAAATCTTTACTTTTTCCAGCAAAGTTTTTGGAACCCATTCAGTATTCGTGGACATCGAAATAGCATTTAGATATCATTTTATTTTGATTCTCATGTTCATGTCATTGTTTTACAGGTTTATCCAAGCAGTCATTCGATGGATATTTCGAGTTGTTGAAGTGAATCATGTTATAAGTTGATGAAATTAAGGATTGTTTACCCATCGTCCTCCCCTCGACCTATCGGAAAATGGCATTCTGGCATGTCGAGATAGTACTTCGAGTCTGAACGATGGACCTTTCTCGATGAGCTCGATTCTCAGGGATCGGAAGGGGTCAATATTCCGAGTAGTCGAATGTTTTTCTAAAATTTCAAAAAAATTTCGCACTCGAACCTATCGGATATTTTTTCAGAAGTGAAGGGTGTGGGTGTGGGTGTGGGTGTGGATGTGGGTGTGGGTGTGGGTGTGAGTGTGGGTGTGGGTGTGGGTGGGGTGTGGGTGTGGGTGGGTGTGGGTGTGGGTGTGGGCGAAAACAAGATTCATACTCTAGAGAATGTACTGAGTTAAGGGTACCCGAAAAAGTACCCTGTTACCAGTATGTCACAGGAACTTTTGGGTACCAAAGTACTTGGAAGTACTTTCAGGTACCTAAGTGGCACTTTGACAAGTACCCTGCTACAAAATGTGTAGTAACTGGGTACTTGAAGGTACTGATCAGATACTCAATTGGGTACTATTGTATAGTATTTCTAGGTGTGAGTGTGGGTGGATGTAGATGTGGGTGTGGGTGTGGGTGTGCGCGTAGGTGGCTAGTGGATGCGGAGAAACTCAACACTCACACCCACACCCACACCCGGCATCAATTTCATTCCTCACATTCGTTACACATTTTTAAAAATATTCCGTTCTCAGGCATGCTCAGAGCAACTCGTATATGCTCACATGTTGAAGATTTAAAAGAAGAAATTCAGAAAATCCGAATCATTTAATTATTAAGCAAACATCCACTAAAGTTTATTGATAAGCATATAAATCGTTTTTATGAAACTCTTACAGGAACAAATGGACCAGAGTTACTATTCAGTGATCAGCACAGAACATTTCATGGCAAAATTTCAAAGGCACAATGGAATAAAAAACCAAAAAGAGGAATTGATTTCAACAGAGACGTTCCAGTACACTTTACATATACTTCATCACTAGCTCAATTTGAAGCAAAATTTTATCAAATACAGCATGAAATTTTCGAAGGAACACCTTTAGAAGATATTCCAGTAACATATACACATCGCCACACAGATAATTTGACTAAAATTCATGTACACAAAAAACCACCAAAAAAGTGTTATAAGCCTTTTACTACAGTAGGATAAAAAGAATAGAGTAAGAACAAAGAATAATGGAAAAATAGAAACGAATGAAAAGATAAAAGATACATAAACATGGTAAAGAAAAGATTTTTTCCTCAGATAAATCAACGAATCAATAGAATCGAAAAAACTTCTACAACTCTCCCCACCCAATATTGTTAATAATAACAGAAATACAAGACAAAAAATTAAACAGCAAACAATTACTTCTCTTATTTTTTTGTGTAGCATTATCGAAAGACAATGTTCAAACTGTCCATTTCTTATCCATCCACCTTATTATATGTACATCAAAAATAAAAATATGTCAAAAAAAAATTTCTCTATCTCTGTCTTTCTTCTGTAAAATACATTTTCCTAATATCCCCTAAACATGTCACTTATATTTATTCATTTCTATACTAGATATACAAGTTGTTAACTAAAAACATATGTTCATTTTTCTTTGTCATCTAGCCCATATTATTTATGTTCTATAAAAAAACATTTTTTTCTAAACACTCGTTATTAATATTATTCATGTCTGTAAATATTTTTATGTACACATAGTGTCAATCATGAATATATCTGTATTTTACTCTCCACTATAGTATGTAAAAAAGAATATCTCTAATCTCTCTATAATTTTTTGTTTTTTATTATACAATAATTAACTGTTACACCCTCAAGCTGCTTCCATATATGTATATATATTTCTGAACATTCGTTAAACATATTATTCATGTGTGTGGATTTCTTTTCCGCTCTACTCTTTCCCTATTCTTTGTCTACTATCTGACTCTTAGTATCTAATCCTACATATTGCAACTCAATTCATATCATGATGGAAATTATATGCTAGGTTCATACCATAACCAACTTCAAACTAGCACTGAACATATTACCGCTGGATATATGGGCATATATTTGAAAAGGAACTCTTTATGTATATTAACTATCAAAGAATCATCTTACATGGGCAAATCATCACTTAAACAGCGAATATACCATTACTGGATTTATGGATATATATTTAAAAAAAAGAACTTTTTATATTGATTATCAAAAAAATCATCCCACAATGACACATCTGTTATTATCTATTTTTCGATTTATTTCTCCATTTTAAGTTATATGCATTGGGAAAAACTTCCAAAAATTCAAAGTTTGTTTTACTTCTCGAAGAATTATCGATGTTCGACTTGTTATATCAATATAATTATCTTATGTACATCATCTGTCATTTTTCTCTTACTTTTGTATTTGTCTATACTTACCTATACTTACTATTTGTGTGTTATTTTCTTACATTCATGCCAAATCATTTGTAAAATTATTTCTATAACTTTTCCTCTTAATATTTACGTTATTCTTTCCCAATATTTGTGTCTTTCTCGATACTCGATTCTTGTATCATTGTTGAATTATATCCCTCATTGATCTGTATCTAGCCTGACGAAGATTCATTCGAAACGCGTTGCTATTATTATTTTTTTCTTATCCAAATAAATTATCTCCATCTCTATACCTATTCCATTGATAACGTGCTTCCATGCTCAATCTATTTTTTTCGTTGCTTCATCCAAATCGTTTTTGATCAAAAACAAAAAAAAAATTTTCTTTTCATTGACCTTCTTCCTTAATTCATCTCCATTTTTTTTCCATAAAAATTCATTCCAATTTCTGATTAATACAGGAAGAAAAAAAGTATATATATATTTCTCTTTTTTCAAAAATATTTAAAACAATTTCCAATATTCCCATCCTTCAATAAAACAAAATAAACAATTCACTTTTGACACCACTCGATTTGAATCCATCAAGAAGTAGAGAAATAAATTCTGCATCGAATGGTATGCCACTAAACATTTTTTGGAAAATTTCTTGTCTAAGAAATTCAAAACACGGCTTTTGAACAGTTTAAAAGCCAGTTCTCGATGCCAAAATTCAATTTAAAAAATAATGTATTCAGATTTGTCCAACATGAAAAAAAATTTTTCAAAAACTTGATCAGCGAAGTGTTTCGTTACGTGGACAAGACGTATTTTCTTCTTGTGATCGAAATGAATATAATTTTCGCTGAGAACCGCCACGTCAGTATGATTTTCTCTCTCTCTTTCCTCCGATATAATCAATAAGAGATGGCTTCATTTATTTGCACAGTATAAAAAATATCGCGTGACTAAATAAACGTCGCAGATGCGTAATCGTTAATTAAACGATTTTATTTTTATCATTGACAATCACATGGGAATAAAAAAAAAGGAGAAGAGAACTACTTGAATGCATATAAGGCTAAAGATTTTATATGCATAGAAAGCCATGACTATGAATATATGTGCATGATTTTGTTCTGCATTGACGACGATATGCACTGTTGCTTCTACGGAAAAAAAACACACTATAAGAGCAAAAAATGAATATATCTCTCTTTCACCATGCATGAAAAGAAAATATTTTTTTGTAAATTTTACCTTGCTAGGTGATCAAAAACTAATGTTGGCGACAACAATCTATATGGCACAGGCAGCTATAGTCAAAGATGCAGATGTTAAACGCTTGCATACTTCCATCCATTATGTAAAACAGCAATAATATAACTGGTTATTGCTGCAATGGTCATTGGGTAAAGTCATGACTATAGGAAAAAAAAAGAATTCAAGAAATTATTTTCCTCAGCACTTCATGCATATATAAGACATACACGAGTCTCAGTCCAACTAGGTAACATTCTATTTAGATGCCAAGCCAACTGACCATGAACGGGACCTCATATCAATCTAAATGATTAATAGTTCCTTTGTGCATCAATCTCAAAAGTACCTGTTCGATAGAATATTGTTTCGACTGAGATTGATGCATACCTAGTTCATATTCAATATCTTTTGTTCATTAAGCAAAATAAAAAATACGGATGCTTTTTTGCTCCTGAATAAATACCATTCTATTTTTCTCTCTTTCTCTTCCTAGTATCTCTTATTCACTTTGAACTCATGACTGAAGTTAAGATAAATAGTCCTACATGAATCACGTGTTTTTTTTTATGTTGATGATTCATCAATCTTCGCCACTACTTGAGAAAGCGTTTTATTATTTTTTTTTTTCTTTCCACTTTCTTTCTTTTTTGTATTCTACGCTTTACAAAAAGCTGTTGGTTGTGACCATCAACCGTGACCATAAAATTACATTAACTTACAACTTCGTTATTCTGTAAAATATCCTTGGAGAAAAAATAGGAGAAATCATAGAAGAAAAAAAAAAGTAGTAGGCGAAAAATCACAAACATCGATAAAATTTTTACAATTGCTTTATCATATAACTAAAAACAAAACAAATGATTTTATTATATCAATAAAATCTTATGGATAAATAAATTTATCCCTTTATTTTATTGTAGATGGATAATTTAGATACTGACACATACTTTGAATTTAAGACATATGAAGAATTTCGAAAAGAACGATTGAAATTAAATTATGAAAATACATTAAAATTATGGTATTCATTACCTAATAGTCTACCAATAAATGATAATAATCTACTCAGACGACAAACACGTAAGCAACAACGAGCACGTTTCAGAAAAATAAGACATTATGCGGTTTATGCTATATTGCCCAAGAAAACATTTCTTAAGAAGAAAATTCAGTCAAAAGGTAAATAAAAAACAAAAAAATAAAGTTGATGATTAATCGAGAAATTATTATACAACAATTTATTTTCGATTGTTGCTTATTTTCAAGATAATTTTCGATGAAATTATTAAAAGAATATATATTAGATTATTATTCATTTATGTCAAAGAATAAAATGCAAAAAGATCACGTGAAAATTATTGTTTTGAAATAGACTAGAAAATTTTTGTTGGATTTTGTTTTTATTGTTATTCTAAGATAGTAATTTTGAAATCAAAACAAAAATAGGAAAATGTGCTTTGATGAAAATTTGATGTTGATTTTTTCTTTCAGGTTTGCAACTATTGAATGAAACATTCAATATGCCTGCAGCAAATGAGGAATTTATCTATGATATACGTCAAGGAATGGGTCGAATCACTACAGAGTTTTGTAATAAAGGACGACAATATGATGCAACAATCAGTTCTAAAGAATTATTTAAAGCTGGTCGATGTGTTTGGTTTATGATTTCTTTTCGAATGCAATGCAATTTACCTTTAATTTTAGTTGATTCTATGCTTGGTTATAATATGCTTTATCCATATACAGATGACTTAGTCGATTGCAACGATATAAGTCGAGAAGCAAAAGCTGATTTCGCAAAACTTTTTCATGAACGACTATTGATTGGTGAACCAACATATGATCCTCAAGTACATTTTGATGGAAAACAATCAAATGTTGCTGAATTAAATTTACCATCATCATTACAAGCACAAGCTGAACGTATAGTGAAAATATTTGATATGGTTAAATTTATTGAAAATGATTGGAGACGTGGTGGTGAATATGAAGGTGTTTATATGGGTTTAACTACAATACATGAAGGGCAAACAAAATCAATATTACAACATGCAAGAACTGAAGATAATTATGCACCAACTATGGCACAAATTGAGCAAATTAGCGCAGAAAAAGGTGGTGCATCATTGCTAGCTGCTGGATTTTTACTTGAAGGACGATTAACAAGAGCTCAAGTGGCTTATTTAGAATATTTAGGATTTGGTTTACAATTAATTGATGATTTACAAGTAAGTTTAAATTTTTAACGTTTAAATTAATTTTGAAAAGAAAATATTTTTTTTTAAGGATGTAAAAGAAGATATGAAAAATAATCATCGAACAATTTTTACTCAAACTCTTATTGAAGGTCGAACATTAGATGCGCCAACAGCACGTCTTATACAATATTATTCTTGTACACCAGCATATGAAAAATTTAGTGATGATAATCAACGTAAAGTTTCATATCAAGAAACTGATATTACATTCGCTCAATATGTTCGAGTTTTAATGATAAAGTTTTCTGTTATGTTGATTTTAGAAGCTGCTTCTCGATTACGAAGATATTATTCAAAAGAATTCTATCGTGAATTATCTTCATTAAGCCCATTTACATTTCATCATCTCAAATTATTTCGTATTGAAAAAACACTTTGGACTATTATGCAAAAACAATGGTTTGGATAAATTATTTTTTAGTCTTTTATTTAACAATTGTGACAATCTATTGATTTTATTAACATACGTTTTATGTAAATAAATGTATATGACAGGATTTTTTTTTATTTATTATTCGAATAAAAAACAGTAAAACAGCTACTATTCATCACTCGAAAGGAATGAAACACAAAGTAAAGAAAATAAGTCTCGACTAGGATTCGAACCCAAGTACTATCACAATTGGTAACTAGCCAGACGCTTTTACTAAGTAAGCTATCGAAACACAATCTTAATTCAAATTCAATTTGTACATTTATTTTAATCTTTTTGAGTTATGAATAATAGCCGTTCTACCATCTCTTATTCAAATAACATATGTTTTATGTAGTTTATTTTGCCAAAAAAAATAATGAATGATACCAATTAATCAGATTTATATAGTTTGAAGATATGTTTGAAAAATGATTAGTTATGCTTCCCAAAAACACAATTCATATACTAGGAGATATATTTTTGTAAACTGTTGATGAGTTAATCTACTTTACTTATGCCGCTATGAATCTTGACTGTAATTCATTATTAATAAGATGACATGGAATGAATGACTAATTTTTCACGCATAATCAATTAAATATTACGAGCAATACATTTGAATGGGATAAATATATCATCGTTTGATTTTAGAGATATTTTCAAAAAATTATTCTTCTAGTTTATCTATTTTGATATTGTTTCGAACATTAGTTTTACATATAATGTAAACAGAAAGTTTGGGAGAATGTTTTTCGCTAGTTTTTTTCAAACTGTATCATGATTGCAGGAATGTATTTCAAAAGAATTCAACAAAAAAATAACGGATCTAGGATTTTGTAAGAGGGTCACTTCTCCGAAGAAAGAATGATCATTGGAAAAAAATCACTTTTTGAGGTTTATATTACGTAGTATAAACTCATGTTTTGTTCATTTTTACTGGAGAAAAACGAACAAAATCTTGTTCGAATCGAAGGCGATCTTCCCTTCGTACTCCTCCATAAAACCATCACTGCGATAAAAACTGCCAAATACTGAGTCTTAATACATGTGACAAATTCAAAACAATTAATATATAGAACAAAATGTAGAGTAGTTCGGGTCTATGTTGAACACCTTTTCAAAAATCGAAGTTTAAAGTATCATAACTTTGCTATTTTTTGTCAGTTTTTTTTGACCAAAAACACTGATTTTCAGTCCAAAGTGTTCTCTACACACCTATCTAAAAATTATGAAACATGTCTTGTATAGCATCGAGCTATTATGAACATTCAGCCAAAAGAGTTGGAACGGGTGTGAGTGTGGGTTCAGAAGGGTGTGGCTGGGTGTGCGGGTATGGATGTGGGTGTGGGTGTGTGAGTGTGGGTGTGGATGTGGGTGGGTGTGGGTGTGAGTGTGGGTGTGGGTGTGGGGTATGGGTGTGGGTGGATGTGAGTGGATATAGATGGGTGACGGCAATTAAAAGACCCATACCCACACCCACAGTCACATTTACATCCACCCACACCCCACCCCCACACCCTCACAGCCACACCCACACACCCATCACACACACACACCCACTCTTACTCGTTAGACATATCACCAAAAAGATGAGAAACCTACTTCGTAGTGAATCTTTTTTTTATACCCGTGATCTCTACTGTCGTGAGAGAAACTTAAGTGATATCTAAAGCATGAGAAGCACTGACTAGAGCCTTGAAAAATTGTATGATAAAGGTCTACGGATAATATGCCTTTTACTGTTCCCTTAGCGATACTATCCAAAATATAGAAAAAATATCTAATAGGTGACATTGTGGATCTATGTCTTCTATTGTTATGTGCAAAAGCTCAACGAATGTTGTAACATAAATAGGATATAGTATTTGATATAGAGCTGCTAAATTAGAGATATGACAAAAGCTTTTCGTTGTTATCAAGGAAGAGCATAGCACTCAAGCGTAAGGAAAGTAAATAGCAATGCGTCTTTTACGGCTGTTTTGTAAGCATGGCATAAAAAACTAATGTTTATTTTTGCATCTGTTGTGAATCAAAAAGGGAGACGCCATGTGCTAATAATTATGAAGATAAGGTGTTTACACCTATGTCTGATCAATGAAGAATCTAAAAGATCTCAGCAACTGTATATAATCGTCAGACTAATTCCGTTTGTTGAAGTCGAACATGTCATTTTTTGAAATTCTGATAAGATTTCAAATTCATTAAATAGCTCCTTCTCAGATTTTTGTCAATTATAAATAAATTGCTATCTGCAATTCACTTTTATTTTAAAGACCAATGATTTTAACTGTCTTGTTTGTTAAACTATTTATATATGATAGGATTCAGACTATCATGCATGTCATTGTAATCTATTTGTGTATTGCTGAATCTCGCTGTTATTTCTTATTGACAGTTGTATAGGGTGGGTAAGTGTGGGTAAGAACACGGAGAAACCCACATCGTCTGTTTCAGATTTTTTTCTAATATCCGTGCATACAGGATAAATATCAATTTTTTGGGCTCTTAAAAAACGAAGACATTAATATGCATATGAATATACATTATCAGGCTTCATTCAGTCGTTAAAATCTCTTAATGAAAAGACTCACTGAGTTGGTAAAATATTTCCTTCAATATACATATTTACATATATGCAATGGATGAGAATAAACATTATTTTTTACCGAACTCCAATAATCTACTTCCCACGAAAAAAGCACATAAGAAACTTATGTGCTTAGAGAGAACTAAAACCAAACATCGCTTTTGTTTGTGTCCCCGATCTATCAAGAATATCATTCAACTCTTTTTTATAAGCAAAACCACCTGTTCGCCTTCCAGGTATGACTATGACTCAACTCGAAAACATATAAAATCCTCAAGAAATTCACGCTATTTCGTCTATCTATGAACATTGTATTTTAGAAGTTATAAATGCTCTAAATAAATAACACAGGAAGAAGTTCCGTAATGTCAGATACAAGAACAATCGATCGTCTCTGAAGAGATATTTTTAAAGACGATAGCACTGTATCTTTAATAAATTTCAAAATAAGACGTTTCCTCCAAATTCCTCACCTTTGTTTGGTTAAGCTACTATAAACATTCTATGAAATGAACCATATTGACAGTGCAGTAAGTTTCTGAAAACATTCTAGAAACAGAGGAAAATAGCAGACCGATCACAGTTTTTAGTTCCATATATGCCAATGTGCAAAAACGACTGAACTGAGAGGATAACCTAAAATTTTCAATCATATGCAAGTGATAATTTCAGAATGAGTGAATGTAAGTGTTTAAATAATGGACAATGTATGATGAATAATCAAACATCAAACTATTACTGTGTTTGTAGTGATTGTACAGGAGGTGAATTTTGTGAAAATCTTTATTACTATGTACAGTATTCAATGTCATCATCGATGTTAATTAATATTCTGTTGGAAGAATTAGCTTCTACTAGAATAGCATTAAAGATTCTTTTTATATTCATGTTCTCTCTTCTAACAGTGCTATCGTTTATTAATAATTTATTAACTCTTTCAACATGTTTTATACAAAGAATACGTATTACAGTGTGTGGCCTGTATATAATACTTTATTCTATCTTTAGTTTTTTTGGTGTAGTGCTCTTAGAAATTCTTGCTATTGTAGCATTATTTTACAATAATGAACTAAACAAACATCCACTAATACATTGTACACTCATACCAACGTTTCTTAATCTAATAAACGACATATGCATATGGCTTAGTGCATTTATAGCTGTTGAACGTGTATTAATTGAATTTTTTCGTTATAGTCTTTTTCGTTCGCGGAAGTATTCAATTATTTTTTTAATCATTCTATTCCTATTCCTCAGTTCAGGAAGTGTAATAATATCTTTTGGACGTAGTGTTGGAAAAAGTCCCGTACTTTCAACAACATCCTACGTCTGTTCATTTCATCATTTTTCAAATAGAAATTTAAAAATAGCTTATGAAGTGATGGATAGCATCTATTCACATTTTGTTATGCCGTTGTTATTAAGTTTTCTATCAATTGTCCTCACATTAACACATATTATTCGTCATAAAATCACTTTAACTGATTTAGAAAGAAATTCATGGCAATCACTAATAATTCAGCAAATTTTGAAGCACAAATGTTTCTTTATACCACCGCTAGTTATTATCATTTGTACGCTTCCGGAAGAATTACTGATATTGATTGCCGGAACACATTGCATCAAGAAAAGTACACAGAAATTTTATCTGCGCTTACATATTGCTTTCGACTTTCTAGCATATATGCCTTTAGTCCTCACATTCTTTATCTATATTTATCCTTCAAATCTTTATATGAATATATTTTGTGAAATAGAAATAGTTGAATGGATTATGCTCAAAATTTTGAGTCGTTGCTGTCGGGCATCTTCAAATATCGTCCCAGGAGAAACTGACAAGCAAATTGTCGAAGAAACGAGGCTATAACTGTGTACAGTGTCAACCGTCTGATAAATACCAATACATTTCTTCGTTTACACCTTTGTATCGAACTCATTTTCGAGTTTTCTCTAGAAATGCCTCTTACTCTCACTCAAGACTAAGCACTATTTTCTGAAAAAACTTCGGTTTTATTTAAAAATTTAGTAAAAATTTTCTTTACCTTAAATCTGTTCAATTTCATCTCAGTGTGTATATCGTCACAAAATCCTTTGGTACAGATAAGTCTACTATTATATTTACACATTTCAAATTACTTTTCCTCCACGGGCTCTCCTTTTCCACGAATTCGTCTTGTTTTCTGACTGTTATTGTTTGTAACCATCAGTCGTTTCAACCACGCCGATGCATCATCAACATTTTCGGTTACCCATATGATCACTTCTTTTATTCTTTTTATGTACATTTTCTTCTCTTTTTCTGCCTTTTGACGGTTCTCAGAAGTGCATATACTCGTCCTGTGCATATTACGCGCAGCTATCTATATGTTTTTCATTGTGTTCATGGGCTCCTTCATTTTCTCTTACT